AGGGTGTAAATTACCACATGCTTTTCCAAATTAAAGGAGAAAAAATGTTTGAATCATCTTCGTCGGTAGTTTTATATTTGCTGCCAACTTGAATAAATTATCTATTATTTATGGTACTTATATGCTTACTGAGCATATAAGTTCATCTTATTATTATTCATTTCTGTAGATTATGATATTTAGAATTCTGCTCCTGAATAGTGAAAGACTTATTAGGAGATCGTTTAATTTTTATTTTAATTCGAGTAGTACTTAATGTTAATTATTTTATTTTTAGTGAATATTTATTATATAGTTTAGACATGTCTTATAGATATTGAATATTTTAAGCTAAGTATGCAAAGAATGTATATTTTATTATTTTCAAATTTGTTCCGCAGAGAATTCTTGTAGATTATTTTATAAGGACATTGTGGGCATTCGCTTAAGACTCTAGATAAGAGTTCGAGCTGTTACAGTTATGGTCCTAGAATCAAATGCGTGTTATTTTATTTTTTTAAAATTCTGTCACCAGAAAAAAAAAAAGCTTTTAAGGCTGTGTATTGATTCGAAAGTATCTACTGCATGACACAATTAAATCTTCCACAATGGATTTAGGTACATTTTAGTTTATCATTTCTCATTGATTTGGTATAGATTACATGTTTAAATTTATTAGATCTGGTTTGATTTGAAATTTTTTTTTAAAACAATATTTTTTCATTTCACTCTTTCTTTGCAGGCTCATAATGAAATTCTCAAACATGAAATATCAATTGATACATGCAATCTTTGATTGATATATAATCTTTTGACAATTTTTTTGGTTCATAATAAAGTTAGTGAATGTAATTCGTAATTTATATAGAGATTAAGTTATTCTCCTACTCAGTATTATGGTAAAAACTATTATGATATGTTCAAAAGATAGTACAACTTTCGTCCTCAATAAACACAATACGAAGCTCTAATAAGATCAATCTATCATAACAACCACTTTTAATGTTATGAAATATTGTTATATATATATATGTATACATAAATATATGTGTTATTAACACTAGATGATGCATATATGATAAGTCATTTTGGAAAATATCATTTGAATAATCTGTATATTGGGCTTGAGCAGATATGAAGACTTTCTCTTGTGAAAGGAATTTAATATATGAAGTAGTCGTAGGCCCTCCATCACGTTCTTCACCTTTCTGTATATTCATATATATATATATATATATATATAATATTCCACTGTGAGTCATAAGGTGCTTAAAGTAAAGAAATGTTCTCAACCAGTAATTAATTTATTACATCTTTTGAAATTATTTAAATTCCATACTCACTCATGATCATATAATTTATTAAAAATAAGTATATTATAATTTTATATTCATTTAAAATGTTTAATAGTCAAATTACAGATTTAGCCCCCCAATTTTGTTCTTATTACAATTTAATCCCTTAAACTTACTAATTAATTTTTTATGGCTACGGCAGAGGGCGGTGGTATAGATGAGCCAGAGAAATTAAAGGCCCTGGTGACACCAGCTGTATAATTAAATGTGATTGTAAATCGTGCCTTCAGTCAAAACTTAGAAGGTACCAAAAATTTTGTACACTTTCAAAGTGTGTATATCATCAAATATATATTTAAATTGATTTAATTTCATTTTGATTATAATTAAATAAATTTATTAAATTAAATACATTGAATTGGGTCAAATCAAATCTTAAATATACTATTCTAACAAATTTATAATAAAATATTAATATAAATTAGTAACAGTTTATTTTAATTATTTTGTTGATATTGTTTTTTTTTTTATTTTTTTAAATTGTATTATTGATCGGGCACGTGTCTCCAAAATTTTAGTGTCGTTTTTTATGAATGAATTAATTATTATACATGGAGAAAAGAAGAGGGTGGTTTCCAAAAAATTAAAATTTTATTTTTGTTTATAATTAATAAAGATGATCTAAATACACTTGTATAAAAAATAATAAAGCATGAATTAATTATTTGGGCCAAAAAATTGTTTATAGCCGAAAAACACACATGGGAAAGGGCAAAAAGGACCCAAAAAAATATTATATAATAACCATCCCATTCATAACTCTATATATATATATTTATATGTATGTACATGTATGGTATATGAGGGAAAGAAAAAAAAAAAAAAAAAGACAGAGACACGATGATAAAGTGGGTATTCTCACAGTTGCTGTTGCTTCTTCTGTTTCTTTCCAAGCATGGCTTCTCAAGACATATTGTCAAGAATCTACCGGGCTACTCCGGCCAACTCCCCTTCACTCTTGAAGCTGGGTGTGTCTCTCCCATACATGGATATGTAGATGTATGTAAATTTCTCTGCGGTATATGCGTGTATATATTGATTCATTTATGTACGGTAAACACAGATACATAAGCGTGGGGGATTCAGAGATTTTCTACACGTTTGTTGAATCTCAAGGAAATCCGAGAGAAGATCCGGTTATACTTTACTTGACGGGAGGTCCTGGTTGCTCCGGCTTCCATTCATTTTTCTACCAATCAGGTACCGTCTGATTTATTATATATTTATCTGGAAATGAAATATTCATGGAAGGATGTATTGGTAATTTTGGTCGCATGAATAATGAATGTCTCAACAACTCTTGCTTTTATATAATATTTAATTTGTTGGGTGAGAGTCGGCTATCTAATTATTTCCTTTTGTCATTAATTAATTTATTTTTAAAAAAATAATCGAATTTCATTTGCAGGTCCTCTTCAGTTCACTACTTACATAGCCGATGGAGTGCCGGGGCTGTCCCTCTACCCTTATGCATGGACTAAGGTATATAAATAAATATTTACTCCTAAAAATATTGGTTGAAATTAACTTTTGAATTTTGCATTTTGGTAGTGTTTATGTTTGTGGGTTGAAGTTAATTTGTGCATTTTGGTAATATTTTATGTTTATGGATCATAATTGAATTTGTATGTTTATGTTTATGGATTGAAATTAAATTCTTGTATATTTTTGTGTTAGAAGATTGTATTATGTTTCGTACAATATATATATATATATATATAATGGTTGTTACATTAAAATATACAAGCTTGAATTCATTTCTTAAAAGGAAGTATAAATCAACAGACAAAGTCATTAATGGTAGGCATGTGTCTGTTGATAGTAACAAAGATTGGGAGAAATTAATTAATCAATTTATGACAAATGCTGGCAACAATTAAAAGCTGGTGGTTGTAGCCACTGGGAAACTGGTAAAAATTAATTAGTTTAAATTGTTGCATGTGAAGCTTTTTGTGTGTGTGTGTGCGTGTGTAGATACAACAATTTAATATTGGACATAAATCGATGAATATACAGATGGCAAGCATTATATATATTGATGCACCTGTTGGGGCTGGATTTTCCTACGTAAGAAATTCAGGAAAGCTGACTGTATCAGACTCTAAAGCAGGATATGAAATTCATATGTTTGCAAGGAAGGTACCCAACGTATACATATGTATTTTAAATCTATATGCTCTTTCCATACACACATATATTAAAATATCTATATCATCTAAAATCTGAATATATATTTATACTAATGCAGTGGTTCAGCGAACATCCAGAATTTAGTAAAAATTCTTTCTATATTCTTGGCGATTCTTACGCTGGCATGTACGCTCCATTGACTGCATCCCATATCGTCAATGGTGAGTTTAATACATACCCAATTTAATTTTTTTTTTTTAAAATTATATTAGAATTAAAATACATAAATACTAAAATTAGGATGAAGTATTAAATATATATATATATATATTAATTTTTTTGCAGGTAATAGAGCAGGATTATTGCCGCAGATAAACTTAGCTGTAAGGACTCAAACCACTTGAATTTCAGCTGTTAATTTTTTTTTTTTTATTAAGCATAAGTTGATGAAGATTAATTTGTTTGAAATGAGATTTAGGGAGTGGTGGGTGGATCTCCATTTACAGATGAGTTTCTTCATGCTAATGATAAAGTGGAAATGAGTCATCGATTAGGACTTATATCTGACGAAGTGTACGAGGTATAATATCATTATATATAATTACAATTAATTAATTAATTAATTTTAAATCATTAATTAAATTATCAATCTCTCTTCTTAGTTAAATCAAGATGTAGTTTTAAATTTAAACTGAAAATACTGTGATGGTTTTGACAGTCGGCCACAAAGAACTGCAACGGAGATTATGTTCATGTGGATTATTCATCCAACAGGCCATGTTTTGAAGATGTTAAGGCAGTCAATGAGGTATGTCCATATATATAGATATACACGTTTAAGTATTTGTGAGGTAATTTCATAATATTAAATAATTTAAATTATGGGGAACTTGCAGTCCATTGCTGACATAAATGTAGAGAACGTAGTGCTCCCGAACTGTTGGTTTTTAACATCAAAATCAAATCTTAAAGAAGCTCGAAGATTTCTCCAACAGAAACCCACCAATATTCTCCCTCCTCACAACTCCATTCTTGATCCAGATTTTTGTGCCGACACGGTATCTTCTTTCTTCTTCATATACATATACGTATACGTACACGTACACGTACACGTACACCTACGCTCACATAATCCTTTTGATTAAAAACATAACTTTGTTCTTAAAAAGTTGGTTTAAACTTGCAGATTCTTCTTCATGAACTGGCTCAAATGTGGGCGAACAATGAAAAAGTACAAGACGCTCTTCACGTTCGTAAAGTATGTGTTTTTCTTTTTTAATTAAGTATGTATACATATAGATATTAAAATAAATTCTGATGGGTATTGAAAATTTTTTGTAATGATGATCGTAGGGAAAAGTTAAAGAATGGATGAGGTGCAACATTACGTATATAACAGATGTATATAAGTATGATATTGAAAGTGTTGTTGATTACCATCGCAATCTTACCAAGGAAGGATTACGAGTTTTAATTTATGGGTAAACTTAACTACTATTCCCATTATATATATATTTTTTAATATTTTAATTATGTGATTCGTTATTTACTTAAGTTTTTTTTTATATATATATTAATTTATAGTGGTGATCATGAAACACTCGTATCTTATTACTCTACTCTACAATGGATAAGAAGTCTTGATCTAACTCTTGAGAGTGCTTGGAGACCATGGTCCGTGGATGGTCAAACTGCTGGGTAAGTTTTTTTTTTTTTTTTGTTAATAACAATTTCTTAATTCTACCTCTTTATACTTAATTTTCATATTTTATATATATATATATATATGCATACTCTAAAGTTAGAAAATCACAATATGGTCGTTAAATCTTGAGAAATAAAAATTTTTAATTTGTGAAAGTACTAAAGTTAGCTCATGTACAACAGAAGTTTACATTATAATATCCTATAATAGTCATATTATATAAATAGTTGATTATATTCTTATATTTATACAGATACACATTGAAGTACAAAAATTCGGAATATCGCCTTACTTATGCTACCCTAAAAGTAAGAAAAACTTTCATTTTGTTTTTATTAATCTTTTATTTTATATTTATCCAAATTTTAGTATTTTATACATTATCTAATAAAGATAAAATAAGATTAATAAATGTTATGATTATTGTGTGTGTAGGGAGGAGGTCATTCTCCCACGGAGACAAATCGAAAAGATTGTTACGAAATGTTTGAAAGATGGATTCATTCTCGCCCGTTATAAAACATAATATCTATGAACCAAAATCTTTGGGAATTATTCAATGTTTTTGCCATATTGAGTAACTCACTTCATCTTTTTATTTTTTTTCCAATGTTCAAATATTGTCTTGTATCTCCATTTGTAAGGTCTAAAGATTTGACCATTGAGGGTGTTTTTTTCTTCTTCATTTTCTTAAATGCACTTTGATTTTTCTAATTACTAATTCTTAATTAATGACTTCAAACTAATATGCTTATAGATACATTCAAACACTAGTTAATATGTATGCCACACCTAAGATTTTTATATAACATGTTTATATATTGAAAATATATTTTGTAAATGTACTTTAATTTTTGAAAACTAAATGGTTACATAGATATAGATTTTCAGACAATTTAAATATGTTTAGACTCAAGTATATTCCATATTAGAAAAGAAAAAGTTATGTTGCTATGTGAACATTACTACCCTCCAATGCTAACATGATGTTCATTAAAAAAATATTAGCCTTATGTTTGATTAAAAACTAGTAAAGTAATAAAAAGAAAAATTATTTACATAATTAAAGATTATATGCATACATATTGTTATATATAGTTTATATACAAATAAAAGATTAATATAATGACATCTCCATACGTTAATTCAAGTCTGTGCTACGTTACAGGAGCATTTTGGATGGTCGAGAGAGTAAATGATTTTGCTAGAAGAAAAATTAACAAACTAACTATATATATACATATCTACACCAAAACTTTTGTAAATAAAGATATCAGCTTTTATGGGAATTTCGTAATATATATCTTACAAATATATATATATATATATATATATATGGCGCATATATAAGATATATATATTAGCAGTTGAGTTTTTTTTGAACAATGATTGTTAAAATAAGAAAATTATGATTATTTTTTCTTTATTCTGCTTTAGTTAGTAAGTGGTATTTGAAAGAAACGAGCAAACATGTTTTGAAGCAAGAAAATCAGTAACTCTTGCTTGTTTTGGTTAACAAAATAATGTGTTTTACTTGATTTTTTGTTGACAGCTTTTATTTACTATAGCAAAATATCTTGCCTTAAAAATGCTATATATATATGTAAGGCTGATGAACTATAAAATATTGAGTTCACATTTTCAGAAGCTGTCTCTCACTCTGTTGTATTCTCTTCTGCATTTTTTTGCTCTATTTTTTCTCACTGCAGACCCACACATTCAGATTTAAATTCCTGTATTATTCTCTCTCTGTTTTGAAATTACAAACATAAAAACAACAAGCTTTTGCCTCCAACAGTGGTATCAGAGCAGTATTCTTTAAGGGCCTTGAGTTATGAGTAATTCAAATGGCTTCAAATATCAACTTGCCAGCTCCACCAATATTTACAAGGGAGAATTATGATTATCGGGGAGTGAGAATGGAAGCTTATCTTCTTGCTTATGATCTGTGGAGTGTTGTGGATGAGGAGTATGTAAGAGTTCCACTACCCGAAAATCCACCTTACCACAGATTAGGCAAGATGCAAAAGGGTTCATGAGGAATTTTAAAGCTCTTTCAATTCTTCATTCTGCAGTGTCTGATGACATATTCCCAAGGTTGATGGCTTTCAAGACTACCAAGAAAGCTTGAGATTATTTGATGGAAGAATATGCTGGGAGTGCTAAAGTGAGAAGAGTACAATTGTTGACTCTGAAAAGAGAATTTGGGTTGTTGAGAATGCAGGGGAGATAGAGTATTAGAGAGTATTCTACGAGAGTTATAAATCTTGTTAATCAAATAAGGTTGCTTGGAGAAGAATTCAAAGATCAGAGAGTGGTTGAAAAAATGATGATCAGTCTCTCTGAAAAGTTTGAATCAAAGCTGTCTGTGATCGAATAAACATGCGATCTTGAGAAGTTTACTATTGCTAAACTATTCAACAAGTTACAGGTTTAGGAGCAGAAGTTTTCAATCAGAAATAATGAGATCACCGAAAATGTTTTTCAAGTAAGGTAGAATTACAAGTTTAGGAACTTGACTTCAAAAGATGAAGGTCAATCCTCGACAAATAAAGGGAAACAACCACAGAGTTTAGAAGATTCATCAGAAAAAGGAAAGTATCCTCCTTATGGAAGTTGTGGTAAATGTTGTTTTTTGGAAGTTGATAGAAACAGAAGAAGAAAAAGATGCAGAACGTAAACTTTTCTGCTAATTAAAAGCTATTAATTTTGATCAGCAACAGTACATATAAATAGCAAAACATAGAGGATAAAAACGTGGTCCTAGGATAAGGCTACAAACCAGGAACCATATTCTCAACAACCTAAAGACTAGGTCTGCTTTATTGACTGAGTCCAACAAGGAGAGAAAAAAATCATGTGCAGTTTAAAAACACTTTTTTGGAATTGTAAACACCAATTCTTTTCCTTAGAAGCTCGAACTTGCTGATGGGAAGAGGCTTTGTGAACAAGTCTGCTAGTTGATCTTCAGACTTGCAGTAAATTAGTGTCACCTCTCCATTTTGCTGCACCTCCCTCAAAAAATAGAGCTTGATGTTGAAATGCTTAGTTTTCCCATGAAACACTGGATTGTTTGAGATTGCAATGGCTGCTTGGTTGTCAACAAAAATCTTAGTGATTTCTTTCTGCTTTAAATCAAGGTCAATTAAAATCTTTCTCAGCCACATAGCTTGATTCACAGCAGCTATTGCAACAATAAATTCTGCTTCAGCCGTAGACTGAGCTACAGTTTCCTGTTTTTTAGAGCTTCAAGAGAAAACTCCTGAACCAAGTGTTAAGCAATAGCCTGAAGTACTTCTCATATCATCGATGGAACCTCCCCAGTCACTGTCTGAGAAACCAACCAGATTGAACTTCTTACTCCTTGTGAATTTAATGCCAAAATCATATGTGCCTTTGACATATCGAATCACTCTCTTAGCAGCCTTGAGATGTAATTCACTTGCACAATGCATAAATCGAGACAAAATGCTTAAAGCATTCAAAATGTCAGGTCGAGTTGCTGTGAGATACATCAAGCAACCAATTAAGCTTCTGAAATATACCTGATCAATTTTGTCAGTTCCATCTTCTTTACAGAGCTTTTCCTTTTGGTTCATAGGAGTACTCATTACTTTGCACTCTTCTAGCTTGAATTTTTTTAGAATCTGCTTGGCATATTTCTTCTGACAGATGAAGACTTCATGTTCATCTTGCTTTATTTCCATTCCAAGAAAGAAAGTCATCACATCGAGATCTGTCATCTCAAAAGCTTCCATCGTCTCTTGCTTAAACTTCTCCACCAGACTTGTGTTGCTCCCAGTTACAAGTAGATCATCCACGTATAATGAGATAATAAGAATATCAGCTTCATTATGTTTGACATACAGTGTTGAATCTGATAAGCTTTTACCAAATCCCAAGCTTTTTAAATGTTCATCAATTCTGTTATACCAAGCTCTTGGAGCTTGTTTCAAACCATAAAGAGCCTTCTTGAGAAGATATACCTTATCTTCTTCTCCTTTCTTCACAAAACCTTCCGGTTGCTCAACATAGATTTCCTCTTGTAAGAAACCGTTTAAGAAGGCTGATTTGACATCAAGTTGATATACTCTCCAATTCTTTTGAGCAACGACAACCAATATCAATCTAATGGTATCCAAGCGAGCGACTGGAGCAAAGGTATCTGAATAATCCACGCCACAAATTTGAGCATAACCTTTCACCACAAGTCTTGCTTTGTATTTGTTGATAGAACCATCAGCATTAAGTTTGGTTCTATACACCCATTTAACTCCAATCACCTTCCTTTCTTGAGGCCTTTCAACAAGAATTCACGTTTTATTCTTCTCTGTCATTGATAACTCCTCCTTCATTGCAGCAACCCAAATTTGATTGTTTATTGCATCCTCATAATCTGCAGGTTCACATACAGCAATATTGCAACTCTGATATATATCAGAAAGTAGCCTTGTACCACTCACCGGAACTTCATCTACCATGTTAGAGTGCCAATCTGCTATGCTTTGTTCTGTTGTATCTGAAATAGGGAGCTTGAGCATTGATTCATTTAAGGTTGGATACTTCTTCTCTGCATCATCCCAATTCCACTCTTCATCTTCCATAAAGTGCACATCTCTGCTTCTAATGATTTTTCCTGTTTGAGGTTGAAAAATTTTGTAGACTTTTGTAGTTGTGCTGTAGCCGATGAAGACACCGGGAAGTGCTCTTTTATCCAATTTATCTCTTTTTAGCTGAGGAACATGCGTGAAACCCAAACATCCAAATATTTTAAGGAAATTCAAAGATGATTTATAACCATACCATGCCTTGAAGGGTGTTTAATCCTTCACTGCTCTTGTGGGAAGCCTATTTTGAAGAAACAAAGCTGTACGAGCTGCTTCTACCCAGAACTGCTTGGGAAGATTCTTTTCATGTAGCATACATCTTGTCATCTCCAGAATGTATCTGTTTCTCCTTTCACTAACTCCGTTTTGTTGTGGAGTATAAGGAGCAATTAATTGATGTTCAATGCCAGCTTTCTCACAAAATAAGTTGAATGCCTCCGAGATGTACTCCTTGCCATTGTCTGACCTTAAAACCTGAATTTTGTTGCCACTTTGGTTTTCCACCATCTTCTTAAACTTCCAAAACACTCTAGCCACGTCTGACTTGAATTTCAAGAAGAAAATCCAACACATTCTTGTAAAGTCATCAATGAAAGTAATGTAATATCGATTACCTGCTAATGATGGAGTTCTTTGAGGTCTGAAGACATCTGTATGGATCAATTGTAATTTAAAAGTGGCTCTCCAGGTGGACTTGGGAAATGGTTTTCTGTTTTGCTTCCCATACTGACATGCTTTGCAGTTTGGAATGTGATCCTCGAATTCTGGAAGATCATTTCCCATCATCTTAGATTTCATTTGCAGCAACCCTTGATGATGATAATGCCCGAGCCTTTTATGCCAGACTTCTGTGATGTTTTCTTTTATTTGATAAGCAATCTGCTCTTCCTCCAATAGATTTAGAGCAAAGCTTTTCCCTTTCATCTTTACTTTAAAAATATTTCGGCCCTCTGCATCTTTAATCAAGCACATTCTGTCTTCAAAAATGACTTTGAAGCCTTTCTCGATCAGCAAGACCTACGCCTAGCTAATTTTGATCGATGTCAGGAACATA